TCTTTGCAATCAAAATTCAAAAATAAATTGATGATGTGGCTGATGAAGACAACTCTCAGCCATCACCATGCCTTTCAGGATGCAACAGAACACCTTTGTTCTTCTTGTGGATTAATCTGATTTTTGTGCTGGAGATTTGCATGAGATTTTGCTCATTACTGAAAATGTTTCCTCTAGTGAAAGTCTGAGCAGCCTCCTGGTTATGCGGGGTGACCTGGGTTGGGCTCACCTGGCCAGGTGGCAGGTGCAAAGCAGAGTTCTAGAAGGGAGTCTGCTCATGGCCTCATAGAGGCAACTACTTCGGTGAGCAGTGCTGGCTGCCCCTGCCCAGAGCGTTGAGTGAGGAAGTAGAGGTGGCAGAGAAGAGGGGTGCAGTGGGCTGTCGAGGCCATGTGGGGCTGTCTGCAGGACTCCTCAGGAAGGTTCAGGACTTAGGTTCAGGGCAAGGAAAGACAAAGACTTTTATTGCTACAAAGTCGGGTGGGGGACTGAAGCCCCCAGATGGTATACAGGCTTGAAAACCAAATCAGGTTGACCAACAACCAGTTACCATCATGTGGTATTGCTGCGACTTCTGAGTTTCCCGTTTGGGGTTTTATTAGCTTTTAGTGAAAGGCGACATTGTGAAGAAACCCAGATTAGAATTCAGCTTATAAAACAGCTGAGTGAGAAAGTGGGATAGGGGAACCGGGGAACTATGTAGAAAATCATTCAGCAATTATTCGACAAAGTAAAAGCCCAAACACTGCTGTCTCTTGTGTGCCCCTTAAGCTGGCAAGTAGGAAAGGGGGTGCAGAGCCGGAGCCCAGGGAGAGGTGTCTGTGGCTCCCTCACTTCTGGTCTCAGGCCTGGAGGGTCCTCTGTTCTGAGAATTTTCCATAGGCAGGAGCTGGTTTCAGGCCCAGACAGACTCCCAAAGTTAAACAAATGAGCCTCCCTCGCTGGCCATGACTTTGCCATTTGGAAATAGCTTTGGGGCTCCAGAATGAATGGGGAGCCTCATGCAGACCTGACTGACATAGGCTTCGGCAGCTTTTGGGAAAGTAATAAAAATGAACCCAGGAGTTTGAGACAAGCCTGGGCAACAAAGTGAGATCCTGTCTCCACAAAAAATTAGCTGGTGTGGTGGTAAATGCCTGTGGTCCCAGCCATTCTGGAGGCTGAGGCAGGAGGATCGCATGAACCCAAGCAGTTGAGGCTGCAGTGAGCTGTTTGTTATACTACACTCCAGCCTGGGTGACAGAATGAGACCCTTTCTCAAAAATAAATACAAATAAAAAAGAAGATGAGACAAGCAGTGGTCTAGAAAAGTGAGCACTTTGGGATGGCTTCCCAGAGATAAGTAGGTGATACAAACCTTGTCTTCCCAGTCCCGTAAAGAAAAAAGTTTTTTTTTTTGGAGGGGGGGTAGGGAGAGGTAGGGAGGAGGTTCCATTTCATCAAATTAGAAGGTGGACTTGAGAGTTTATAGGTTTCCCAGACTATGAGGCTCCGCCCAGCCTTTCTGTCTCTGCCAGTGCCAGGATGCTGCCTGTCCTACCACCTGTGCTGAGCGGGTGTCCCTAATGTCCATGACGGTTTAGGCTGGAGTAACTAGAAAAATAACTAAGTTCGGTTCCCAAGGAAGAAACTGTAATCCGATCACCGCCCAGCTCACAATGGTGACCTCAGTGTGTGTCTTAGCCATTTTGCACTTAAGATTCTCTGTCTACAAAATGGCAATCCGCTGATATTAAAAAAAAAAAAAAAAAAAAAAAGTGGAAGAGACAATAAAATAAAATCCCAGCTCTACTGAGTTCTAACAGCCAGGAACCATGAGCCATTTAAAATTTAGTTTGTCTCATGTTTATGAGAAAGGATAAAATAACAGATATCTAAACCAACACCAGGGACTCTTTTAAAAGCTCAAATTCTAGGGCACCGGTTTTCAACTCTGGCTGCACATTGGAGTCAACTGGGGAGCTTTTGAAAAACACCAGTCCCCAAACTCCACCTCAGGCCAATTAAATCCTAATCTCTAGGAAGGAGTTCCAAGCATCTATATGGGTTTTTGTTTTTTGAGTTGGAGTCTTGCTCTCTTCGCCCAGGCATGATCTTGGCTCACTGCAACCTCCACCTCCGGGGTTCAAGCAGTTCTCCTGCCTCAGCCTCCCAAGTAGCTGAGATTACAGGCGCCCACCACCACGCCTGGCTAATTTTTGTATTTTTAGTAGAGATGGGGTTTCACCATATTGACCAGGCTAGTCCCTTGGCCATGCTCGAGACGAACTCCTGACCTTGTGATCCCTGTTACAATAAGGGACTGGCGCTCCCAAGCCCCGTGGCCTGCTCTGATATTCTAATATGTTCAAGTTATCTTTTACAGAATGAAGTTGGACTCCTACCTTTTTGGGGTGATAAAATCTACCTAACACTGTACGTAAAAATTAACTCAAAATTGATCAAAGACCTCTAAGAATTGAAATTATAAATCCCTTAGAAGAAATTAAAGACATTTTTTATGACCTACGACTAGGCAGTGGTTGCTTAGATATGACACCTAAAGCACGAATGATAACAGGCACTATGAGATTCGACTGAGAGATAAACACTGACTCTAAGGGCTTATTTGAACCTGAAGTACCTCCTAACTCTTATGAAAAGTGAAAGTGTATTCTCCATGGTTTCTATGTTCAGTGAATTTTAATAGCATTTCTAACATTAAGAAGCTAGAACTTATTCCTTAGGTATTATGCGTATCTTAACACCAGATTACTGAACATGACCAGAATATTGCATGGCTCTGTCACAGGTGAGCCGCCAACTCACTGTGATATTTTTAGAGATCATAATTCTTTGGTAGGTAACCAAGATTAGTAGAAATGCAAGTTCAGATTATGGATCAGAATCAGTTATATGGAAAATGTATACCATAGAAGAAAATAAATTCCAGCCAGGCAGGGCGGTTCACACCTCTAATTCCAGCACTTTGGGAGGCCAAGGTAGAAGGATCTTTGAGACCAGGAGTTCAAGACCAGCCTGAGCAACATAGCAAGACCCTGTCTCTACAAAAAAATTTTAAAAAATTAGCCAGGCATGGTGGTGTGTGCCTGTAGTCGCAGCTACTTCGGAAGCTGAGGTGGGAGGATCACTTGAGCCCAGGAGGTCCAGGCTGCGGTGAGCCATGTTCACACCACTGCACTCCAGCCTGGGTGACAGAATAAGACCCTGTCTCAAAGGAAAAAAGGAAAAGAAAGAAAAGAAAGGGAGGAAGGGGAGAAAATAAATTCTAAATAAATTAAAAAGTTAGAAGTTTAAAAAAATTGGTTGGGCATGGTAGCTCACACCTGTAATCTCAGCACTTTGAGAGGCTGAGGTAGGTGGATCACTTGAGGTCAGGAGTTTAAGACCAGCCTGACCAACAAGGTAAAACCCCTTCTCCACTAAAAGTACAAAAATTATCCGGGTGTGGTGGCAGATGCCTGTAGCCTCAGCTATTCTGGAGGCTGAGACAGGAGAATTGCTTGAACCCGGGAAGCAGAGGCTGCAGTGAGCCAAGATCATGCCACTGCACTCCAGCCTGGGCGACAGAGTGAGACTCCGACTCAACAAAAAAAAAAAAATTAAAAAATACATTTAAGAGTTTTGAAAACAATGCTGAAGCATCCTATGAAAGCCACAGCAAGTGATAATGATGTGATAATAGATCAAAAGAACACAAGGGAGATCTCCTAAATAGACTCAAACTATACAGGGAGGGGTGGTTTGGAAGGAGGAGTTAGATTCCGACCTCATGCCACACTCAAATACATCAACTGGATGAAAGATTTATTTCACTATTCCTTTTACACTTAATAAAGGGGTGCTTGCTAGTGGAAGTAAAAAATTCAAACAGTACAAGTAAAATGAAATTCTTCTTGACTTTCTTTTCTCCTTTCTGCCTCCACTTCACTCTAACTGCTATTTGGTGTGTGTTCTTCCTGGCTGGTTTGAATATATCCATATACAACTACTATGTATTATTTTGTGTATTTTTAAGCACAAAGAGGATTCTATTTTTCCTACTTGATAACTTGCTTTTCCCCCCACTTAATAGGGTATCTCAGAGACCTTTCCAGATCAGTACATATGGGCTTACCTCATTCTAATTAGCCACTACGTTGTATTCCATATTAGAGATGTACCTTGTAAGCATTCCCGTGTTGGTAGACATGTTAAGAAGAAAAAAAGAACATACTTGAACACACCTCTGTATGTCCAAACTAATCTTTCTCCAGCACAGATTCCTCATAGCAGATTTACTGGGTCTGATGGTATGTGTGCATTTTATTTTATTTTATTTTATTTTTTAGAGGCAGGGTCTTACTCTGTTGCCCAGGCTGGACTTGAACTCCTGTGCCCAAGCAAACCTCCCACCTCTGCCTCCCAAGTAGTTGGAACTGCAGGCATGTCCACCATGCCCAGCTAGCATTTTAAATTTTAATAAATTCTGCCAAAATATTATTCAAAAAAAGGCTTTGAGGGCCGGGCGTGTTGGCTCAAGCCTGTAATCCCAGCACTTTGGGAGGCCGAGGCGGGTGGATCACGAGGTCAAGAGATCGAGACCATCCTGGTCAACATGGTGAAACCCCGTCTCTACTAAAAATACAAAAAATTAGCTGGGCATGGTGATGTGTGCCTGTAATCCCAGCTACTCGGGAGGCTGAGGCCGGAGAATTGCCTGAACCCAGGAGGCAGAGGTTGCGGTGAGCCGAGATCTCGCCATTGCACTCCAGCCTGGGTAAGAAGAGCGAAACTCCGTCCCAAAAAAAAAAAAAAAAAAAAAAAAAAAGGCTTTGTGAAATTACACTTCCATGAATGGTATGAGAGTGATTCCCTTGCCAACTTTTAAAAAATTTAAATTAACCCAATAGGCAAAAATTATATCTCATTTTTAAACTTTTTTTATAAGCAGAGAAAAAACTTGTAGAAGGTATTACTTAGTTTTTTGTTCCTTTAGTCTATACACAGAAAGCTTCCTGGAGCTATCTGTGAGAGCACATATACTAAAATTGGAACAGTGCAGAGAAGATTATCATGGCTCCTGTGCAAGAATGATGTGCAAATTTGTGAAGTGTTCCATATTTTAAACAACACATTTAGAGATAAAAAAGAAAAAAAGAGAAAACTACCTACAAGTGGAATGGGATTAGGATAATTAGGAGGATTAGTTAGAATTTTTTCTAGTTAGACTTTTTATTTCTAAATTGAAATTGTAGTTTCAAGTTGTTTTAAAATAATAAAATTTTAGTTTCATGTTGTTTTAAAATAATAAATGCATATTGCTTTTGGAACTTGAAAAACAGTAAAGATTTTTTTAAAAGAAGAACAAAGCCCTCTTGTAGCATAATTTACTGTTACATTTTCTCTCTCAGTGCTGGGCAAGCCTAGAGTCGAGGGTGGCGGGTGAACTGTGTATCAAAAGCCTTTGTCTTCCGGCAGTAGCAATACCATACTTCTCTATGGCCATGGGCAACTAAAGTCTGAGCATTTTGCATCTTGAAATGATGGACTCACGTGTAGAGAGATCGTTGTGTGCATCTGCACTCCTGGCCTGTTCATAGAAGACTTTGGGGGCAGCAGGCAGAAATGTTTGTCAGCCTACATTCTGATTTTTGGTTTTTTTTATTCCAAGACAGAGTCTCATTCTGTTGCCCAGGTTGGAGTGCAGTGGCGCAATCTTGGCCTTGACTTTCTTTTCCCCTCTCTGTCTAGCTCCACTTTGGGAGCCTCTGCCTCCCAGGTTCAAGTGATCCTCCCACCTCAGCCTCCCAAGTAGCTGGGATTACAAGCGTGCACCAACACATTTGCTTTTTTTTTTTTTTTAAAGGAAAAAAGGAGTTTCACCATGTAGGCCAGGCTGGTCTCGGACTTCTGACCTCAAGTTATCTACCTTCCTCGGCCTCCCAAAGTGCTGGGATTACAGGCATGAGCCACTGCACCTAGCCTCCTTAGTCTTTATTCTAGTTGCTCAAGTGATTTTCTCCACCTCTGTGCTTCTTTAAAACAGTGGACATGATGTAAAAATTGAATGTTACCACTTTAGTTGTATCCTGGAGATGGATAATTCATTGATAAGGACTGTCATCTACTTGGATGCTTTCTTCCGGGTTGTGTCACCAAGAACAGATTGGCAGTCTACTCTGTAATTCACAGCATACCTTTATTACTGACAAAGAAAGTTCCAAGTGAAGGTCCCTGTTAGCTGGGGCCATTAACTCCCTCCTTTTGGACTCCTGTACCCTTCCTGCAGGGTCTAGGGCCAGTGGCCATGATGGGAAATGAGCACACATGGCTCAAGAACAGAGTCTGCAATTTGCCCGTTGGGACTGAGTCCACCTTGGTGGGAAGTCAGTGGCAATTCGTCCACCCACACACCACTGACCTTGCCTTGTTGGCGACCATCTTGTGTGTTGGCTCTTGACCAGAGAGGCTCTGCAGTCATTCCGTGGGGCTGTTTGACCACAAAATGTGTCAGTGGTTGGTGGTTTTATGCCAAGTTAAGATTCTGATAGAAGGCAGTTAAGGTGGTAGTGTAAAAGCTACATGAACAATCATGGTTCTTGCATTTTAGGGACAAAACAGGATGGATACTCTTTGTAAGTCATGATTTTATTTAATTTTCCAAAAAGTCCATCTCAAGACCTGTAATCCCACAGCTAGCATGTGACCAACATTATATTGAGAGTGGGGTTTGTGCTAATCCAGACTCAGCAAAATCTTGATTAACTGGGGCTCTTTTCATCTCATCCAACATATTTTAGGGATCTCCTATGGGCCAGGCACTGGTCCTGGTGGGGGAAGTTCAGAGATAACGCCTCCCTTCAAAGAGTTTCTAGTTCAATAAAAAGAGCCTCATTTAATCAAAAGTGTTGTGCGTACTGTAATTTTGGGGGAAAATTAATCCCAGGAAATAAACTTCTTAGGAGATATTTTGCTCTAGGAAAAAAAAAATCCAGTCTTTTAAGGATTTGTTTTTAGGACAATATGCATTAAATCATTCTCCTGAACGTGAATCTTGACACCACTCTCGGGTCAGAAATGTTCAGAACAATAGTGTTAAGGAACTGCATGGTATTCTATCGCCCAAAACGTTTCAGCTGCATTTACTCCTCATACCAGGATTTTTCCCAGACACTTAAGAAGCATCTTCACTGATGCAGAACAAATAGGAATTTAAACCCACATTTTCATAATTGATTTTAGTACTCTTTTATAATCAGTGTAGGAGCAGACATTTTAAGTTTGTTCATCCCTTCTGTAAATCTTGTAAATAAAGTTGATACTTGCATGTCACTGATTAATTCAATTCCAAGTTGCTGCCTGCGACCTACCGTGCACACAAAGCAGTGGTTGCTGGCAGGCGTGGTCTGACCCTTCTTGTCTTTCATGCCACTTTGTCCCTCAGTCACAACCACCAAGCTCCGCCCACCGCACCTGCCTGCGCCCTGTGTGCTCTGCACAGCCCTGATTCCCTAATCGTGCATAGGTTCCTGCTTTTTTCTTTCTCATAGCACCTTTGGGCACTTATCCAAACATAGATTTTCTTTTCTTTTTTCTTTTTTTTTCTGAGTTGGAGTTTCGCTCTTGTTGCCAAGTCTGGAGTGCCATGATCTCGGCTCACTGCAGTCTCCACCTCCCAGGTTCAAGTGTTTCTCCTGCCTCAACCTCCCGAATATCTGGGATTATAGGTGTACACCACCACACCTGGCTAATTTGAATTTTTAGTAGAGATGGGGTTTCTCCATGTTGGTCAGACTGATCCGACCTCAGATGATCTGCCCGCCGTGGCCTCCCAAAGTGCTGGGATTACAGGCGTGAGCCACTGCGCCCTGCCAGCTTTGTATTTTTTTTTTTTTGTACATACATCTGCCTGCTAGCTAGCCCTCCAAGAGCAAAGACTGTGTCTGTTCTCTTCATCCATTTATAAAATGTTCATCATGATGCCTCACTCATCATCAGCTTTTCCTAAAGGGTAGATAGATGGAAGTTGAAGGGGTAGGTGGGTGGATGGATGAACAGATGGAATCGTTCTTTCACCAGAGAGAGTCCCTAACTTATGATGGTTTCACTGAACAATTTTTTGATTTTATGGTGGTGCAAAAGTGATACACATTCAGTAGAAACCATACTTAAGTGCCGTATTCAACAGATCACATGAGATATTCAACACTGTTATTAAAAAGGCTTTGTGTTAGGTGTTTTTGCCCAGCTGTAGGCGAATGTAAGTGTTCTGAGCACATGTAAGGTAGGCTAGGCTAACTAATGATATTCGGTAGGTTAGGTCTATTAAATGCATTTTTGACTTAGGTTTTTTGTTGTTGTTGTTGTTGTTGTTGTTGTTGTTGAGACAGAGTCTTGCTCTGTTGCCCAGGCTGGAGTGCTGTGACGTGATCTTGGCTCACTGCAACCTCTGCCTCCCAGGTTCAAGCAATTTTCCTGCCTCAGCCTCCCAAGTAGCTGGAATGACAGATGCCTGCCACAATGCCCGGCTAATTGTTGCATTTTTGGTAGAGGCAGGATTTCACCATGTTGGCTAGGGTGGTCTCAAACTCCAGACCTCAGGTGATCCACCCACCTCAGCCTCCCATAGTGCTGGGATTACAGGCACGAGCCACCATGCCTGGCCCTGACTTAGTGTATTTTCAACTTAAAATGGGTTTATCAGGATGTAACCCTGTTGTAAGTGGAGGAACAGCTGTACTTGAGTATGGGGTACTTTCTAGTACTGGCTGGTTGCAGTGAATCAGGTGTCACCTCTCAAGTCACCTTCTGGCAGGGGAGAGAGACGTATGTACACAGCATGTCAGGTGGGGATGGGCACTACGAGCAAATAGAGCAAATAAAGCGGAGTGAGGCAGGTCGAGAGAAGAAGTGGGGATGTTATTGTGCCTGTGTGTCAGGAAGGGCCTCATGGAGACCACGTGATGTCTGAGCAGAGACCCAAAGGAAGTGGAAGGATGAGCCATATCTAACTCATGGCTAAATTCTCAGTGTTCTGTGTTTTCAGAGTGATTTCTATCTGTGTGTCTATCTGGTCACATCATGCATTTTAGTTTTTGTCACACATCTAAAGCTAAATACACCAGGCTTAGTGGAGGAGGGCCTCTGGGAGGATGGGAATGGGAGCAGCCTTTTTTTTTTGTGGAAGGGACAATGCCAAAGCAGGAAAAAGATATTATGGACCACATTTTTTATATCTTCAATTTACTTTTTATTATCTTGAGGAAGTAATAGATCATTTAAAATGTGAATTTTTTTACTTCTCCTCTTGAGTCAATATGAAGTTAATAAGAACAAGATTACTTTGCAAAACATTTTGGACTTGGCAGGTTTAGCCTCATTTGTATGTCATTGATTTCTTTACATTTTTCTCTGCATCTGTTGTAGGATTTTACAGGAGTCATAGAATAACGGGGTCAAATATTTCTCTTAATCTGAAAGGCGCCACATTAAAACAGGGTGGTCTGGTTGTCAGTGTTTCCTCTAAGTGGGACAGATGAATGTTACATACCCAGTTCAGGTAGCAGGCAAGCTGTTTCCAATTGCCAGGAAGGCCCTTAGAAGCAACTGGCCTTTGTAAGTTAGGCTAGAGAGTAAATAAGGCAGTATATCTCTAGGCACTAGGTCAAAGAGGAAAGTTATTGCCATCTCCGATGGAGGGACCACAAAAATGTGGAAGCCTAAGTGACATGTTCACCTTCCTTTGCCTGCAACTGTGAGCACAGTTGTATGTGAGGCTGCGGCCCTTGTCCTGTTTGGGTACATGTATGAGATGGAAAGGCTTAGCTGATCATTCTGCAGCCCTTTCCAAACTGGGTGTTTCAGTGGCAGTGCCGGTACTTGCTGGGAACCCTGCTGCTTTTCCTGTGGTCTGCCCTTTGCTCGTGCTCTGAAAAGGCACTGTTTGAAACCTCAGTGTTCTAAGGAGCACCTTGGGTGAGAAGAGGGTTGGGAAACTACACAGAGGATGCTCTGGGACTTCAAACCGGCAAAATGCCAGGGCAGTAATTCTGAGTGTGGCCCACAGACCCCTGCTTCAGAATCATCACACGTGCTTGTCGAAATGCAGACTCCTGGGCCCGTTCC